GCGGGCACGCCACCTCGCTTGGGGACCACATTAGGTCAAGTCTCCATACTTCCTCCCCTGCCTCAGGGAATTTCAAGCGCATGGCCAAAAACATCGACCGCTAAACCCTCTACGAAACCCGCTCCAAACATCCCACACACCATGACTGAGAAACAACCAGTAGAATTACTCAAACCCATCGGGAAGTAGGGAGTGTCGCCCACAACAAACCCAGGTCACAGGAGGGCCAACTCGATCATTTTGTTCAACGTTGACGTGTCGACAGACTCATTGTTGGTCGGGAAACAGTTTGACAGCTGAATGTGGACCAACTACTGTCAGATGTAACTTTGCGTTGCCTTTCTCGAGGAAGCCGGGCACCCCGAGATAGGCCACCCCTTTACGTGTGTCCCTAAATACTGCCAAAGAGGCTGAAGACACCCTCCTTCTCTCAAGACAACCGGACGTTGTTAATGCCTGTAAAATTCGGGCCAGGCCTGACGAGCCATGGTCAATAAGAGAGGAGGAGTGAAAGTTAGCGGTTGGAGATTCCAACAGAAACAACACTATAGTTGTACATTGGATTCCAGAATTGCCGAGTGACCGCTCGGTTAAAGGTCGGTACTTTCACGACGTCCAACAATGGCAGTGGCTCTCAACCAAAGTTGGTCTCGACAGCATACCGGCCAACAGCGTCAGTAGACCAAGGCCAGCGCATCTGAAGTCCATAACCAATCCCAGGCTACTCGCCTCCAGTTCGGCTCATATGCCTCCCTCAAAGACGTTCTACACGCATGGTACAATGCGAAAGATCGCATGGGTGGCTCAATACGTATATGTGAAAGTAAGCCTAGACCCGTAAGGCAAGAGGAGAGACGGCAACCACCAAGACCTCTAGAGTCAGTGGTCGTCACACAGGCGCTGACCAGTGAGTTAGATACATCAAGTAAAGAAGCCACCATTGCCACAGCCCCCACCCAAGTTAAGAACAAAACACAAAAAACGGAACAATGCCAGTCCTGTGAGGACTGGCGACGCTAGACCTAACCACGTAAGCGCTCATCCCGCGAAAATACACAACAAGCTCTCCCCCTCACCAGGCACACTCTAATATGTATGTACAGCAACGTTAGGGGGCTAAGAGGGAAGGTTGTAGAAATGAGGACGCTGCGTGAACATCAGCACTCCGACATCATATTTATCACCGAATCCTGGCTCTCGTCGGACATCTCCGACGAAGAGATGCATGTTACTGGCATGGAACTCTTCCGCAGGGACAGAGAGCACAGAGCAGGAGGGGGAGTGGCTCTCTACGTAAACTCCCATTTCAAGGCAATGGTGGTTAACGATACGGCCATAACCCAGCTCCCAGAATCTCTATGGTGCTACTTCGCTCTCCACTGTACCAAATACCTGCTCGGAGTCATATACCAGTCCCCCACCAGCTCCCCTACACATAAGGAAATGGTCATCAAGGCAATCTTAACGACTTCCTCTGCAAATTACGATTCCAGAGTCATTGCCAGCGACTTCAACACCCCGATCATCCTCTTCGAGACGGAAGGGAGATGCATCAGGTCCTTCAATCAGAAGCTAAAGGATGCAATTAAGACTGCTGGCCTCTCAGAGAAAGTGGGTGATGCCACACGCTGTAGACCTAACGGGAACTCATCGCGCCTTGACTGCATTCTGATGAACGATGAAATTCCCACTGAGGACGTTTGCATCCAACCTCCCCTTGGCCTCAGTGACCACGCTGTAATAACATTCTCCATGATTACTAGGGAGGCTCTGCAACTGGATACGCCCAACACCTTCCCTTGCTACAGCAAGGCCAACTATGAGATCATGAGGGGCTATCTCATGAATGCATCATGGCCGGTAGACTGAGCTCATCTCACAATAGATGAACACTGGTTAGAGGTGAAGAAAATAACCACTGGGGCCATCAGTCGCAGTGTACCAGAAGTAACACACAGACAATCAGTGAGAACCTCAGGGTTAAAGCGTGGGACAGAGGCTTATCCAGAGCAAGAAGCAGGCTTGGTTCAAGTGGCGTACATCACGCAGGGAGTCTGGCTTCTTGAACTACAAAAGGATTCGCAACCGCTGTAACATTGGAGTTGGTAGCGACAGATTTTCCTGTCAGACAAACTTGGCGGAGAGGTTACAAAGCAATCCCAAAAACTTGTACCGCTTCATGCCGAGAAGAAAGTAGACCAGTAAGGGAGCGAGTCTCATCACAGGCCATGACCAGAGTATACTAGGCAGTCTAGAGATTGCCGAGCTTTTGAGCTCACGCTTCCAAGCCCAACTTAGCACTGATACAAGATCCACACCGACTCGCTACGACACCGACCAGGTCATAAGTAACGAATACCTCTATCACATCTCGGTTACACTGTTCGAGAAACTATCTAGGCTATGTCCAGGCAAATCCCCTGGCTGCGATAACCTAAAACCAGTGGTTCTAAAAAACTGCTCCGAGGTGCTTACTAAACCACTTCGCAACCTTTTTGGGCACTCAATAGAGTCGTGCAAACTCCCCAAAGAATGGAAGAGAGCCATCTTGTCACCCATCTTCAAGGGAGGAGACAGAAAAAGCCCTGGCAGCTACAGGCCAATTGCTCTACTCCCTATTGTGTCGAAAGTGTCGGAAAGCCTGGTAGCTGAACCCATCTGGGAATTCCTCAATAGGGAAAACACTGTCCATACTGCCCAGCATGACTTTCAGAGTGGTCGCTCATGTGTCACCAACTTACTAACCGCCTGGGACGACTGGACACAAAGCTGGGATAACACAAAACCGGTACATGTTGTATTTCTCGACCTAGCCAAGGCATTTGACAGTGTCCCACCTACAGTCCTGCTTCACAAGATCATGTCAGCTGGTGTAAGTGAACCCCAACTCTCTTGGTTCAGGGAGTGCCTAGAAGGGAGGCAGTTCCACACTAAAGTAAACAGAATAAGGTCAGAGTGGAGACCCTCGACGTCAGGAGTATCCCAAGGAGCAATCCTAGGACCGCTTCTGTTCCTCCTGTTTATCAACGATCTGCGAAATAAAATATCCTCACCCATCCTCTTCCTCGCTGACGACATAAAAATTTGGAGGGTGGTAAACGAAGAAGCTGATTGTACAGCACTACAAAAGGACTTGCAGCAGCTCGAGCTCTGGTCGTCGGAAAATGGCCTGAGCTTCAACCTGGAAAAGTGCAAAGTAATGCACATTAGTAAAAATGAAGCAAGTACGACCGACTTCCGGTACATGTTGAGCAGCCGTGCTATCACCAGAGTGTCCATGGAGAAAGGTTTGGGGCTCAAATTCTCCGACACCCTGGACACCAGCTCCAACTACAAAGGTATGACAACCAGGGCGAATGCCATCCTACACTTTTTGCGTAGACAGCTTGGAGCCCTCACTCCCGAACTCTTCCTCACCATTTTCAAATCATACGTGCGGCCGCATCTAGAGGTCTTCAATACGGTGGCTCCTCCAACACTCAAGAGAGACTGTAATCCCCTTGAAAAAACACAAAGAACTGCAACAAAATCTGTTGTGGGGCTGAGGGGAAAGACGTATCCTGAAAGACTTAAACACCTAAACCTATTTACCTTGGGTTATCGCAGGAAAAGGGGTGACCTTATTATGGCACACAAAATCACCCATCAGGCAGACCATGCAAACAAATCAATTTTGTCCGCAACTCAACTCAACTCACGAGGAAACCCCATTAAAATAGCACACCAGAGAGCGAACACCATACTCAGGTCCAAATTTTTCTCCCTAAGAGTATGTGCTTTGTGGAATGTCTTACCGCGACACATCGTTATAGTTCTCTCAGTCGACTCATTCAAGAGACGATTAGACAGTTATGTCACCTCTCATGGACTACCACGAACGTACTCAGGTAGTCACCAACCTCACTAGCCCCCAACTCCCTCCTAACTACCACTCACTATCTCTCTCCTTAATACACCCACATTACCTACTAATTCTTCTGTAGGAACCAAACCCATGCGACCATTCGCATAATTCCCAAATACTTTCCGTTCGTCCTTATTTCTCTTTTTCACCCCTCCTTTTCTTCTGCTTCCCTTCTTTTCCCTTTTCGCTTCTCTTCTTATTTTCTCTTCTTTCTTTCTCTCTTTCTTTTTTCTTCTCTCTTCATTATTTTACCACTACCCTGCTATTCTCTTTCAGGTGCCTACACAAACAGGAGTCATGGCAGTTCCCTAGACGTCCCAGCAACCAGTAGCTCCCCAATCACTCTACAAATTACAACTTACTAACCCACAAAACATCCACGTCACCGAAGCTAAAAGCAAGAAAGCAGAGTGCATTTCCCCGTCCACTGCAGCAGTGAACCGAACAACTCAAACCAAGCCCTAAGAACTAGACGCGAGAGATCAAAAACTACCAGTTTTCTACGCTGGTAATATCAATATTGGATATTGGAAGACAGCGTAATTTCAAGGTCAACTCCGTTTGTGTTAGCGATCCTCTGTTTGAGGAGCTGAATGCAGATGAAGACACCGGTCATGCTGGAAATTGTTTTCAGCTAAATTTATGGCATTTGTTGTGTTCTTAAATGAATTGGTTTTCCATTGAATTTAAACACTATAAGAATTATAATTCTTTCGCATGATCTGCTTATAGTCATTCATACGTGGCTTGAAGTACCGCATTTTCGCTATAGATAAATTTTAAGACATTTTCAAGTGGTGTCGGAAATCTTTCCTTAGGACAATCAGAAATGCTTCCCTTGTTAAAGAAGGCTGGCATGTTATCTGATAAAATATAACGGGCTAAAGGTTTAACAGTTCTTGTTGTGTGCGCTAATTGATATATATATATATATATATATATATATATATATATATATATATATATATATATATATAATGCATTTTTCGCAGAATGTTTCCAAACTTTCTCCCTTCATCGCTGTTTTAAATATGAAATTTGCTTAATTCCAGATGGTTTGATCGTTAACCGGCAGTAGTTCTTCAGTTTTACGATAATGTTATCACAGAAGAAACGTTATTTGTCTTTGATATGCAGAACTACACTGTATTGTGTCAGTGTATTCATTATATTTTCTGGAGAATATGAGGTATGTTTACATATCTTGATTTTGATTTAGTTTATTTTTAATTTTTTGGGTCTGAATTATTTTGAAGTGTATTTATGGGTTATGTTTAATACTATGTTTTGAGACATCATTAAATGTCTATAATTATATAGCACTTATGAGTGAGCCTTGCCTGGAACACTGAAAAGACTTATTTCTATGATTGAGGCCCATGAGGCTGATCAGCACAGACTGTTGGGTTTCCGTGTACCTGTACGATCAGATAATGTGCTCAAATTTGTGGTTGTTTGGTAGTAAACGTGAAGAGATTCCTGTCTACTGCTTTCAAACATCTCAAATCAACATGAAATGTAACTCAATGCCCAGATGCTTACAACATCTTTTGTACATGGGCTGTGATTGTCCATAACTTGTTATGTTATGTTATTAGTCCCTTGGGTTCCTAATGGAATAAAGGGCTTCACTAGCACGTCTCCAGTGTCCTCTGTTCTCTGAGATCTTTTGAACCTGGTTCCACAACAGCTTAGAAGCTCTCATTTCCTCCTCCCACCATCTCCTCCATGTCACCCTCGGACGTCCAACTCGTCTCTCCCCATGGGGGTTCTAGTCGAGGGCCTGGCCTGACGCGTGATGTCCCCAGTCGGCCTTCTCAGCGTGTGCCCAATCCATCTCCACTTCCATCTGCATATTTGTTAGGTGTTAGGTTCTTGGTTGGTTCGTTCCCAGAGTTCCTTGTTGCTTATTCTTTCTGGCCATCTGATCTTCAGTAGCGAGCGTAAGCAGTTGTTGATGAATGTCTGTAGTTTTTGGAAATCCCTTTCGTGACGCGCCAGTCTCTGAACCATACAGAAGCACTGATTTGACGTTGGTGTTGAAAATCCGGATCTTGTTCCGCATGCTGAGTGCAGAAGATCTCCACACTGGTTTCAGGCTAATAAACACCTGTCTTGCTTTTCCGATTCTGACTTTGAGGTCCTCGTCCGTCCCACCTGTAGTTGAAACAGTGCTTCCTAGATAGTTGAAGGAGGTTACTTCCTTTAAGTTTCTCCCGTTGATGGTGGTTGGAGTTTGTTATTGTTGTTGGTGGTGGTGCGATATCTTCATCACTTCTGTCTTCTCTATATTCACTTGAAGTCCCGTCTTCGCTGCCTCTTCTGTCAGCTCGTTAGTTTTTGCCTGTAGATCTTCAAGTTTGTGTGACATAAGGCACAAGTCATCGGCGAAATCCAAGTCTTCTAGGTTCTTTTCTGTAGTCCAGCGTATCCCCCTCTTCTCACAGCTCCCCACTGTTTGCTGCATGATCCAGTCGACCACAATCAAGAATATCATGGGGGATTGTAGGCAACCTTGTTTCACTCTTGCATGTCTTCACTTCAGAAGCGTCACTGAGCTTCCCATTGTGAATTACTTGGCATGTGGCATCTTCATATAGTTGTTGAATGAGGTTGATAAAGATTTGTGGCACTCCGTAGTGTTGAAGCAACTGCCAAATTACTTGTCGGTCGACGCTGTCAAAGGCCTTCTCAAAGTCGATAAAGTTGAAGTAGAGTTGAGTTGACTGCCATTCTTTGCTCTGTTCTGTGATGATGCGTAGCGTAGTGTGGCAATTTGATCGGCACATGATTTGTACTTCCTGAATCCAGACAGCCAACGAGTCTGTTCCGGTCGTAGTTTTGAATCCAGTGTATCATTTAGTCTCTCCAGGATGATGCGGCTTAATATTTTGCTTGGGGTGAACAGAGACAGGAGCGTAATTCGGTGCCAGTTCTTGCAAACACTGAGGTCTCCCTTCTTCGGGAGTTTGGCAAGGTAACCCTTCTTCCAATCAACTGGCAGGTACCTTCCCTTCCTTCGAGACATTCTGCAATAGTGATGTGGTGTGAGCATGTCGGTTGCTGTTGTCTCTGTGTCTGTTTTCAGTGCTTGTGGCGGGATTCCATCTGGTCCTGCTGCTTTCTCCCGTTTCAGTAGCTTTATGGCGTTCAGGACTTCCATTTTTGTTGGAGGATTTATGTTCACTTGTAGTTCAGCGGCTGTAGATGGTATTTCTGGACGAAGTGCAGGTGGTGGTCGATTCAAGAGCTTCTTGAAGTGGTCAACTTATTGTTTCCTTTGTTTCTCTTCTTTTGTAATTAAATTTCCGTCATCATTTATTGGTTTCATCTGCGTTGATCTCTTCCCAGATAGTAACCTGGTTATTTGATACAACCTTGTCAGGTCTTTGTCTCTCCTACCTGCAGCAGCCTGTTATGCTTCACTTGCCAGTGTTTCGTAGAAGTATCTTTTGTCTTTGCATGCACTCTTCTTCACTTCTTTGTCCAGTGCTTTATACATCGTACCCAGTTCCTCATGTCGTTGAGCATCCTTGCACTGGTTTATCTTCTGCTTCACCATCCTCCTCTCCTCTATCAGCTTCCAGGTATCCGTCGAGATCCATTCCTTGTCTTCTTTCTTCTTCCTTCCTAATACGGCTGTGCAGGTTTCTTTCCACATCTCTTTCAAAGACTTCCAGTGTTCTTCCACACAGGTTTCTTCAGGTATGTTCCTCGATATCTCCCATTTTGTCTTGATGGCTGCCTTGAAGATCTCCTTTGTAGTTTCGTCCTTCAGTTTCCGAGTGTTGTACTTGAATTGAGGTCTATCACCGGCTTCCTTGAAGGCTTTTAACTTGATTTGGAAGGTTCCTTGCACCAGATGGTGAGTGGTCTGAACGTACATCTGCTCCTCTTCTTGACCTTGTGTCAAGTAGACTGCGTCTCCATTTTCTTGAGATTGAGATAAAGTCGATTTGATTTTTAGTGTGTCCTGGTGTCTGGTGAAATCCATGTCACTTTGTGGATATCTTTGTGCTTGAACACACTGCCTCACCTCCAATCACCAAATCGTTGAATGCGCAGAATTCTGCAAACAATTCTCCATTTGACAGTTAGGAGAGTCCACTTCCATCCCATTTGCTTTCGCAAATTCCAAGCACTTCAATGTGATACCTTCTCGTCTCTTTTGCAATCTGGGCTGCCTTGCTGGGTTCAAACATGGTGCGGGCATTCCATGTCCCCACGTTTACTTTCGCTTTCATCGAGAGAGAGAAGACACATCGGCCAATCGGCTTCCGAAGGCTTTCACCAATCGGCGTTATTTCGCCTCTCCGATTCCAGCTAGGAATAATTTTGTTTTTATTTTTTATATTTTGTTTGTGCTTTGAAGTTTCTTTAGCGGTTAGATTTGTTTCCCGGGGTAGGGTTGCTAGCCCTATATCCAACCTTCCCTGTTTACCGAGGCTTAGGACCGGCTAGTAACTAGTGAACTAGTTAACCAGGCGAGGTTCTATAACTTGTTAAGTGAAGCAATATTTGATACTGTGACTCACTGTTTGAAACTTGAGTGCCTAGACGAAAGAGCCACAGCCCTATAAGAGCTAAAAAACCACATTTTTATCGCGAGTATGGCTAACAGTTTACAGTTTTAAACACTGGTACATACAGATATAATTTGCATCTAATTATTATCCTGTTGTGTGAATTATAGAGACTTTCGTCTCTTTTATAACCTTTTGAACTTAGAAATGTATGTGATTTTTGGGAGTCGAAGTCATTTAAAGCGAATTATGGTTTATTATAATACTGGTTCGTTAAATGGATTTACATGCAGTTATCTTTGGTTGATGGGGATAGAAAACCATTAGTTCAGCATGGAACTTAATGATCAGATATCAGTGAAAGTCAAATTCTCTTTACTAATCCTAACAATTGGAAATGGAGTTAAACTGTTTAATCTTTTGATATTGAGCTATTAGATCTTATTTTAGAACCTATTTCACTCATGTCGGTTCAATTACTTGGATAGCTTCCTTAGCACTTGAGGACCAAGTATGATTTTTAGCTCGGCAAATATTCACTCGGCTGCATTACTAACCATTGTTAGTCTAGTAAGTATTGGAGATAAGAGTGAATCAATATTGTTGACACTCCTCGCTGCTGAGTGTCAACAAGCACGAAATCTAGGTCCCACTTTCCCTATCGGTTAACTCTCACCATGTAACACCTAAGTCAGTGTTTATCCAGCCTCTGAATTCTTGAAAAGTGCTCACTGGTGATCTCTATCAGTTGCGAGACCGACCGATAGCTGCTACCTTGATGTGGTGGTCGGGCTTGCATATCACGATGACCCAACGAGCTATACTGGTGAGACGCTTGTTCCCTCGAGGTCCTACTATACCAGAAACATCTCTTGGATAGTGGTTAGACGAAAAGCGGTTACCGTTGTAGTGTAAATTACTACACTATGATGGGGGTCTGAGGGATGAAGTCGTACTGCTGCTAGCTGGATGGGGTGTGACAGCAGTAAGGTGTTTCCCTTGGATGACCAGCAGTGCCATGCTGATGCTGCCTTCTCAGTGGAAGCGGGGAGTGGTGGTGGTGAGTGGGTTAGAAAAGGTCGGCCCCAAAAATAACACACTCCACCACGCCCCACGGTCTGCCGGGCCGACGGTGTTGGTTCGTTTGTCGTTTCCTTTCGACCATCCGGCCCCAAAAGTACAAAAGTTCAAAATAATCATACTCGAGAGGCTCATCATCATCATCATTATCAACATAGGACCAGGCATTACTGCGTAACGGTCCGAGTTGCCACACCTCATATCAGCACATCAAGTAAAAAGGTAGTGAGGTGAAGGATGAAGATAAGTGAATGCAGTCAAAAGAAATATAAAGTATGAGAAGAAAGGAAAGAGGAGTGACAAAATAGTGAGATTCGGTATAGCGTTGTTAAGATGAGGATAATGTGTGTATACATCTGCGCCACTGACTTCGGTTCTGAGCCATATCACCTAGGGTCTCCAACCACTGGTTCCTCTTGTCCCGTGGACCCCAACCACCTAGTCTGCATCGTCCTACATGGCTTAAACCAACAGTCAGAGACTTCATACATTGGTGCCATGTTTTAGTCTGGCCACCTCGGGCCTTTTTCCAGCCTGAACCCACCTCAGCCAACATTGTGTGACGAGGCAATCGGTGACTAGGCAT